GTATATTTTCTCTTGAATTTGGCTCAGCAAAGTGAAACAGGAAGTGACATCAAAGGGGAACTCTTTAAGAAAAGAAACACTAGACTTTGTTTATTGAAACAATCTTTTTTAAACTCTTCATCTCTCTGATAGTGACTCAWAATATTCTAAACATCAGATTCTTCTCTAAATATTGTAGCATTGCTCTGTTTACACGCAGACATTCCCCTTTGACATCACTTCCTGTTTCTTCACATGTAAATATCTCAACAACTGTTCATCTCAACCACGGGAAATTTGTTTTGCAATGTGTTTTCAATGTTGTCTTTCCAAAAACGCATTTGCTTTTATTACAAAAATTTGATGTCACAGTCACTTTAAATACCTTTTTCTTATTGAGAACTTAATGTCCCACTAGTTTACTGAACAGTATTTAACTTGTTGACATTTATCCAAAGCAAAAACCCAAATATTGCCAACATTTGTCAGGTTTATGACATTTCCATCTACAGGAGAGGAAACATAGATCAACCTGTAGACCAGTCCTGGTGTCTTGGTTTAAAACAGTTCTAGATACCATCAGTTTTTCTTTTTGCTCCTTTCTGTCGTGACTGCAGGGCAGATAATTCTGTTCTTTAAGCTGTCTGCCCTTCTAGTCATTAGGTAGAATTTGAATCTGTCCAAGAAAGGCAGAGGGGGGAGAGACACATTGTGAATTTGGGAGTCTCCAGTGCTGCAGGTTGTATTGTCTTTAAGATGGACAAGTCCGTAATGACCACAAAGTTGTGTTTGCTTCAAGTGTTTAAGGCTTAAATGTCAGTTGTGGTCTCACAAAGTGGATTTTATTTTRGTCACATGACAAAACAACAAAAAAATAAGCTTTGTTGCGTAAAGATATATATTTTTTAAGTCATGAGTTGTCCCTTATTTCTTATTTTGTTTCCAAGAATCCAGACTTTCTTGTAATTATTTCAAGTAGTCTTCATCAATTAGACTAAAAACTGTTTTCACCCACACACCAGCAGGTTACTAAAACACTGACTAACTACAGAACTGTAGTTATTTATCAGAATTCTCTTTAATAACTGACCTCCACATTTGCAAAATTGGATATTTAGATATTATCTCTTGTTGTCTTTGTACATACCTTGTTTTTCTACACAATATAAATAATATTTGCACATTGTTGCATTACTTTATGTCCATTTTTTGCTTTGTTTAGCTTCTTGATTCTGACTTGAATCATTCAGTGGAAATGTTTTAACCTGCTATTCATATTGTGATATGAATAATACTGCTGTCATCTTGTTGGTGAATGTGCACCGATCTTATTTATTTTTTTGTCTCTATTTAAGAGCTATTTTTACCTTTTATTGCTTGTGTTTATTTTGCTGGGACCTGAGTTCATGTTTTCTTGTATCATGTTCAATGAACAAAATTAACTTGTAGCCTCTGTGTCTAATTTAGTTTCTGTTTCCGTCACGCTTTAACATTAGCATTCATGCTAACCGCATTTTACCTATTTTCCTCCAGTTTTTAGTGAGTTTGCTCATCGTCCACAGATTGAGAATTCAACTACAACACTTCTCTGAAAAACATTGCCATTATCCATCCATCCATGCATTATCTATACCCGCTTCTTCCTTTCAGGGTCACTGGTGTCCATATTCAGCAGTCACTGTGCGAGGGGCGGGGTACACCCTGCACAGGTCACAAGTCCATCACAGGGACACATAGAGACAAACCCATTCACTCTCTCACTCACAGCTAGGGACAATTTAGAGTTATCAATTAACCTAACAGTCATGTTTTTGGTCTGTGGGAGGAAGCCGGAATACCCGGAGAGAACCCACGTTGCAATTATTGACCCGTCAAAATAAAAGCGGCAAAGTGATCGTTTAGCGCATTTACACGTTGGTTTAATTTGCCTCCTATATTGCCGGACCTTGATGACGATGCTCAAATGGTGTATCGTTCAGCGCTAATGGGGACCTTCACTCAGGCTATTTTCAGAACACGAGTCATGTGACTATGTYCGCTCTACACTGGTGTGCGTACAAACTCTCGTAGGCGCTACATTGATATCAGTGGAGCTACGCCCGTCTAGCTGTGTTTAAACTTTAAATAAATTTAGGAAACTCCACCAGGAGGACCACAAAACATTGTGCTTTAGTTCTTATAACAGTGACGTAGGATACAGCCATCACCCCCACTGTAACAAGTATTTTGTGTTACTTTTCCCAAGCTAAGATGGAGGCTAACAGCTTGACCGGAAAAGATCACGGACTTAATGTCTGCTCCAAACATTTAATCAGAGGTGAAAGACCAACACTGGACCATCTGGTCCTGTCCCTGCGCATTCTGTCCATAAACAGTTTGTTTTTACTGTAGCCTACTGTTAACTTTACTCATAGCATCTATGCTAGCCTCGCTCAGATACAGCGCTCTACTGCAGTCAGACCAGCATATAGTGATATTTTACTTACAAATTCTAAAAATCACCATTAAGTTTCTTTAAACAATGCAGAAGCCGTGACTCCAGTGATTAAAAAAAACACACACACRTAATAGAGCAGCAAGCTAAGCTAAGACATCAATAAAAACACCAACCTTTTTAACAATTTGCTCGCTTTCCAAGTCTGTCGAAGACCTGGACCCTCCAGCCAACCTTTCAGGTGAAGTTTACTGTGATTTCTGAAGTCGGATGTGTTGAAATTTGCTCTAGATATGTCTTTTTCTGTTACGATATTAACAGGAAATCTCTTTAGAATCCACTCCGATTGTCTGATCGTTTGTGAGCGCGGCGCTAAATGATATGTGTGACGTCACGAGAGCAGATCCCCATTC